ATGTGTGTATGTATGTAAAGCGATATATAATACCAAACATTTCTAATAATGTAAGTATACATAGTAATGTAAGTAAACATTACACTAAAACAAAAAAATATCAGAGATATTAAATAAAAAATATATATAAACTTATATACATTCCGTGTAATATGCATTATAAATATATACTTACATTAGAAATGTTTGGTATTACATATCGCTTTCTATCTATTGGAATTTAAATTACATGCAAATTATCCAGACAGCAAGCATGTTTAAAGACACTTAAAAGACGTCTTATAAGAGATGTTTTTAAAATTTTACTAAAAAAGATATCATAAGAAAAATAAATACGTCTTTTGGACATGTCTTAAAGATGTCTTAAAAAATGTATCAATTTATTAGATAATTTCAAATTCTGCCTCGTATTCTTTCTCTTGTCAATACTTTCCATATAATTAATTTTTATGCAATTATAGAATATCTAAAAGACTCCAAATAAGATCTGAAAGATATCTAAAAAATGTCATTTATTGAAAAATAAGACATCTTTAAGACATCCCAAAGATAAATCGGACCATAAGACACCTCAAAGACGTCTTTTTTTATATTTTAATAAGACGTCTTATAATATTTAAGACATCATAACGTTCTCTGAATAACAGTATACTTTGTTCTCACAGTGTACATTACTGCATTGAACTGAAAGTAATTTAGGGCCTAGGATGGGATTTGCGACGTAATAAGGAAATTTGGCCATTCCATTACAAGCTGCTCCATATTCTCCCTTTATATTCAACGCAATCACCCCACCGAAGAAGTTAGGATAGTGCTGAGCGATTCTGCTAATCGTCTTCTTAGCAGCAATAGTCGGTGGTGCTCCATAACGCATTTCTTCTACCGCTAGGAAGCTACAAGAAATCAACTTGATTTTAGCTCGATACCTGCTACGGATATAACATATCTTGTATGAATGCTACCTCGGCAAAAATCGCATCATAATATCTCCGTCACCGGTACCGGCTGCCGCGCCGACCTCCTGGTCGGCGTACGCGCCAGCTCCAGCAATAGGAGAATCCCCGATGCGGCCAGGTATCTTGTACTTGGCGCCGTTCGTGGAAGTACCGGCCGCTGTACGTCCCTGCGAGTCTATAGCGAGTATACTGATCGTATCGTGATTCTCCTCGCTTCCTACTAGCATGCTTTCATCGTCTTTTATGTCGCTCGCATGATATGGCCCACAACTAGTTTCTGGATCCGGCACGACGTTCTAAGTACAATAAAAGTGATGTTATATAAATCATCTTATCAACGAAATATACCTCTCAACGAAATATACATAAGATATACTCAAGGTATACATAAGATAATGATAAGATACAGAAAGAGCACGATTTCTTTTTCAGTACCTTCCAAAAGTTGGGCTGACACTTGTTCTCTTTCCAATCTGTCCACATTTTCTTGGATTCTTCCGTTTGCAGAGACTCCTTCTTGAATCCCATCTTCTCAGCGAAATCCGTAGCAAGGTCTCCGCCTAGTAAAGAATGTTTCGTATGCTCCAGTACTTTGCGAGCGACCGAAATGGCGTTCTTCACGTTCCGTAATCCTCCTACTCCACCTACATCCATTGCTACTCTATTGAAAAGCATATTTCTTGAATGCAATCATACAGTTTAATGAAATAGAAATTCCTCCGCTGCTTGAATTGCTTTAATCACCCGTCCATAATAATAGCATCCAGCGTAGTTTCTCCACATTCATCTGGACTGCCACCGAATCCCACAGTCGTGCGGCATCTCTGCTCTTCACAAAGGGAACATCCTTCCTCTATCGCATCCAAAGCGCTTCTCTTCTGATTGTATATTACATCCCATGCTAAAAATGACAATGTTTTTAAAAATTGCCAGAAAATTTAGATTGCTAGAAAATATAGAAATGCCAGAAAATTTAGAAATGTTTCTGCTCTTGACAAGTTGATTGACATTAGATATCTTAATACCTTTCTCCGTTGCGGATTTATAATCCCAGGTAATGACTATCACAGGAAAGCTGTTGTTGAAGGTATTATAATTCTGTTTGTCGATTGCATCGATGAGGAAGCAGGTTTCAAATAGCAATAAGATTCCTACAAAGTTGGCGAACCTCATTCTGTTTGCTTGTAGTCTCTGGAAAAGCACGAGAGTATAAGCTATAAGCTTAAATAGCATGAACTTTGCACAAAGAAAAGGCATGGAGGGAGAAGATATCTCTGATAAGTAGGATATATTGACATACTTGGTATTGTTTGATACTATAAATAAATAAAATCATGCCCTGATAATACATTGTATTACCAAGCGACCTGCTTTGCATATAATAATACAAATGTTTACTGCATATATAAAGTGTCCAAGAAAACATTTATTATTTTAATAATACAATAATATCATATTAAAAATCGTATTTTATGAAATTTATGGGATTTAAAATTTCATTGTTATAAAATTTTAGTTCATAAAATTTTATTTCTGATTTATTATTAATCTGATGTTTTGTAAAGATACATATGTGTCTATGATACAATAATGTATGATTTTTATTTAAAACTGTCATTGATATTAACTGTATTTAATTGTCCAAATGAATATTCGTAAAAAAAATATAGTTTCGATTGATTATGATCTAAATTTAAAATTTAAATACTGAGAATTTCTAGAAAATTCTTAAAATTGTGCAATATCATTAAGATAGTGCAATCTTCTTAGTTATATTCTTCTGATAATTTGTAAATCTTTTTTACTTTGCAAGATTTTTTTTCGTTATCCAATCTAAATTCTCGAGTTTGCAATTTTAGAAATTCTTAAAAATTCTTAAAATTATAAATAGAATCTTTTGCTGATTTTGCCAATTTTGTATTTTTCTGATATTTTATTGAGTTTCTTTATTTCCATGAGTTAAAATTTCAAATTCGCAATTCTTGGAATGTTATATAAACTGTATTTTCTTATCGAATATTTCATCAATTTTTTTCAAGAATTTAAATTTTTATGCTAGTATCTCCAAACTTAAAATTCTACTGCGACATATTAGCAATACATACATACATACATATACATATAAAATCGGGAACAATTGACAATATTGATTGTCGATTAGAATTTCTTGAAAGTTGATAACGATATTTTTTATCTATTTAATGTGTGTGTATAAAAATTTGTAGAGTTTAAAATTTCATCATTGTAAACTTCAATTTATAATTTTTTTTAAATTTACTATTAATCTGATATATATATATATATTTATTTATAAAATATCAGATTAATAGTAAATCAGAAAAAAATCGTATCGACAATCAATAATGTCAACTATTCCAAATTCCATTTGTCCATTTGAGTCAACAAAAATTTTTACAGGACTTTTTAATAGTACCTGATCGATGATAAACTCAATTAGATTCTTCAGTATAACTTAACACATTGCAACATGTATATCGTTTACCGTGTTCGGTATAAGGCTAGTTCCTCATGCGGCGTAACTTGCGTCATCTAATCAAGTCGTTTCAACTATTCTACACAACCCGCCCAAATTCTCATTTACAGACGATTTGATTGACGTGAATTACATTTACGCAAGTTACGCTGCATGAGGAGGCAGTCTAATACCTTTTGTCTAAGCTCATGGTCAAAAGATATACAATCAAATTTATTTATCGTGACAGTCGACAGAAAAACGCGATTCTCCATTCATTCACATGAATGAATTTCATGAAACAGCTGATGACACCTCCTTCACCTTGTGTACCAGATAGTAATCGCTTTCAGGAAAAAGAAATGTACAACAAGATCGTATAACAACATTATTTAATAGTCAACAGTGCTTAATTCGATTGACACCTCAATAGTCTGTGAGGTGTGATCTGTTAATTATATAAACGACTTCTACTGAAAATGTCTTTCAAAAAGGATTTGAGGTTACTCGTGAAACCATATTACTTAATAAATATTCTCCTCAGCATCTCCTACATTCTCTCAAAGCGCTTTCCTGTAATCTGTAATTACATATTTGTTCAAGACGACTGCGAGCTCGATGGAGTAAGTAATATCGATTGACAAATCAATTTTGACAGCATTCATTTATTTTTTTAAATACTTTCAGAGGGAGACAGAGATTCTCTTTTTTCTTATGATTGTCATCATGATGAGGACGAGGAAAACTGGCAGTGTGACGATGATAAATTACTTGACGTCTAGTTTTGTGTACACAAAAGTGGCAAATCTGATTCTCTGGTTTTATGCAGATGTACGAATGGGCATTCTATTTGCGTTTATTTTTATATGTAAGTCAAAACGATCTCTCCCCAATATAGTTTATTATACTACAAATGATATCTTGTATATGCAGTATGTGCGTTAATATTGCCGGAGCCAACATATCAAGGGCCTGAAAATGTGATCTATTTGCATGGAGCCGATGGACTGCAGGAAGAATTGCAACGTGACACGAGAGTAGTTTGGCTGGTAGCGTTCTATACTGCATGGAATCCAGCCTGCGTAACTTTCGCACCGATATTCTCTGAGCTCTCTGTGGAGTAAGTAACTTGCAGTCTAATCTTTTTCTTGATGTAAGGAAGAATATTCCATTTTTAGATGTGTTCCATTTGATACTTATAACATTTTTGGATTCATATCTATGTTATTTGCCGAACGTTAAATAGGAATAAATAATGTTTATAAACATCAATGGACTCAATATGGCTATCATTGAAAATTATTGATTTACAGATACACATTGGAGAATTTCAAATTTGGTAAAGTGGATATCGGAAGATATCCAGATGCAGCTAAAAGGCATCGTATCAGCGATGCCAGTACAAGTAAGCAGTTACCAACGTTAATACTTTTCAAAAGTGGAAGGGAAATAGAGCGACGTCCATACATGGATCATAAAGGAAAATTTGTCAAGTTTCTCTTCTCATTGGTATATTGAAGTTCAATTCATTTTAACTTATTAAAATTTTAACTTATGTAGTTCTGTTTTTTACTTGTTTGAATTTTTCAGGATAATGTTAAGGCTGCATTGGATCTCAATAATATTTATAACGATTGCAAAAAGAATCTTATCAAGAGGAAAGAGAAGAAATCGTTGAAAACAGAATAATAAAATAAAATTTAGACATTTAATGAGAAAATGCAGTTCGCACAGCTAAGCAAGACGAACTTTTACTGTGTAGAAAAGCTAGCTAACGCGTATCTTGAATCCTGATTAAAACTATAAGGATTTGTGTAAATATTTTATTGTGTATTATGATCTACAGTGTTTTCATCTGACTTCAAGCAGTTATTTGTATATAATATTTCATTATTACAGTGATATCATGTATTGCATGATGTGTGGTGCAAAACACACACACACACACACACACATATATATATATATATATATCGAATATAAATATACAAATATTACCTACTGAAGAATATAAATATAAATTATAATTATAAATATAAATATTACGCTTATAATTGTGTAAAAAAATGGATTTTGAAATAATTTTGTTGAATCATCAATTATACAGAGTGATTACTGATATATAATAACAATTACTACTGTTATAAAAAGTAAGATTGATATTATCTACTTTCAATCGTTTCCATCAATTAAATCTTGTATCAGTTCGCTGCCACTCCGATAAGATTTGTGGATCGAAGCGGGATTGAAGTGAGCGCAATTTGTCGAGTTTTCATCGATTCAAATCTGGTTCTACGTATTAGGAGCGAATTAACATATCGATGGAAACTAGACCAATTCTTCACAAAAATTTAATTCATAAGGTGTATTTCATGCGTAGCATGCAGTCGCAGTAGTTCGCTGTTATTGATTAAAGTTTGTTTACTAGCTGACGCACTTTCGATGCAAGATAATTTGACCGCACCTCGCTTTGTTGATTGGAAGTTGAACTGGACGAACAAATCCTCTGCAATAAAATACAGGAGAAACTTAGCAGCGTATAGCGTAACATATATTAATGAATATAAGAGAATGGCATCAAATGAGGTATAGAAACATATTTATGATGTTACATGATGTTATTAATTAATTATTTCGAATAAGTAATAACAAGATTATTTATGTATGTAAAATCATAACCTCAATTTATCAACAAGTCGAGAATATAAATAATAAATCGCAATTGTTGTAATCTTTTAAAGCTTGTTTATTATAAGTGATCTTATAATTTAAAATGATCTTATAATTTATAGTTTATTTTACACGAAAAAAATTTTGGTGTTGTTTATTTAATGAAAAATTACATACTTTATGTAACTTAATACAGTTTAAATGTGCTGATTACTGATTTATTTTTCTGTTAGATAATAATACCTGATAATATATGTGGAATTTGTGAAAAAATAATCGAAGATTCGTTAGTTCCAACTCATGAATGCTTCGAAGGATATAAAGAGCTCATTATTGATAATAACAAAATTTATCCAGTATCTGGTAAATATAAATAAAAATAATGTATAATTCTTGAAAAAAAATTAAAATAACTATATATAATGATTTTTTATATAGATACTGCCGGTATAATACGACGTGCTATGGAGCATGACGTAGAAGACATTGTATACGATGAACCATCAAGTCATCCAAATACAGATAATGATGTTGCGCTTGAGGGATCATTTATTTGTCCGCTATCCAAAATGAGCGAAAATATTTTACTCAATTATTCTTCTAATTCAACGGAACTAGAAGAATTGCTTATTGAAAAGTGTGAAAAACAGGAAGTGTTATGTAATTATGGTCTATTAGCACAAAGCAACAGTGCAATAACTGCTAAATCATGCGGGGATGCGGTTTCGGAATCTCTGCAAGATATTAAAAATATGACATTGGAAGATCCGTGAAACGATAAACATTAACATAAAAAATAAAGCTTGTGTATTAAACAAATTAAATAAAAACAAAGTTATTAACACAAATAAAAATCCATAAACAAATGAATTAAAATTAAGAAGGAATGATACAAATCATTATTTGTTATGATTAAATTAACTAGTTATTTCTTTTGAATTTTCATTTGTTGTTCGGTTGTTGATCTTGTTTTTATTTTCTACATACTTGTTAAAATTTTTTGATAAAGATAATTAGCTATTTTGCTAAAGTACTGTATGTATTTCTTTAGACATTTAAGTCTAAAAGAAGCTGCAAAAAGGGAGAATTACAAGATAGTTATATAGTTATTATTGTAAAGATAATTATTATTGTAAACTGACTGAAGAAAAATTGCCTAGTGGGTCCGACAAGCATATATACACATATATATATATATATATATATATATATACAGGATGTCCGGTATCATCTCTCGTGGGCAAGTAGAGCTGATAAAACTGAGTAGAAAAGAGTAGAAAAGTCCTCTATCATTTTTGCAATTTTTCGCGATAATTAGTTATTAATTTTTAAAAATCATCGTATTAGTCCGACCCACTGGCAAATGAGAGACACACGGTTAGATACTCCCGTCCGGCGATCATTGTTGCTAGGCGTGTGAGGAATTATTTATTTCAAGCAGCTCATGCATAGTTATTGCACCAAATATTATTTTATCCTTGTTTAATATTCGATGAAAAATACGAGTAAAGTGATACATCCAGGCTGCGTTTCTGATATTCACTGCACTGAAAATCTATAATATACGTGACATGAACTATATATTTTCAGTACTGACAGTGAATATTGAAACGCAGTATTTCTGAATTCAGCAATGGGGAGCAATCATGTAACTTTTCCCCTAGGGCGAAAATGTGAAAAGTGAAAAGTTTCACGTGAACTTACGATTCATGTTACGATTTTGCGGGATCATGTAACTCTCTGAAACATGAAAATGTGTGAAAATTTTTCACGTGAACTTTTTCGCCATGTACTTGGCGGAAAGGCGGAAATCTGGGGAATTAATAAATATGCTTCGGAATTAGAGAAGATTAGGGCTACGTTAGGATTAAGTGTACGTAGTACATATACTTGGTTATTAAAAGATGTGTATATATATATATATATATATATATATATATATATATATATATACTAAATAAAATAATTTTTATTAGCTATAAAACCTATGTTTCATGATTTCACTTTCCACATATCCAAGCTACATACATAATCGCTGTACGTGAAAAGTCTCACGTACGTGAAATGTCAAGGTGTGAAAAATGAAAAGTAAAAATGAAAAGTGAAAAATTTCACGTAAAGTTATATGATTGACCCCCTGGATTCAAATCAGCGTGATGACGCATACGTAATGCGCGATATTCAATGAGCGTACAGCTTTTCTCGGAAAGGTTTGCGCTAGTCTAAATTTAGCATTATTCTGCTTTAGTGTCGGTCCACAATAGGTGATTTAAGTTTTAAAAAGTAAAAAATTGACCAATTATAATCGAATATGAAAAGAATAATCGACTATGATTGGTCAATTTCTTACGGTTTAAAGATTAAATACTTATTGTGACCAACACTTATGAATCTAGTTTTATATTCTCGTGAGTTTCGAACCTGTACATTTGTAGACTGAGATAGGCTGAGGACACGTGCGTGGATATAAACACGTGTTGATATCCTGCGCTGAACGAATTCAAAAGTTCAAGTGTTTTTTTTATCACGGATCGACGTATATATTTATATTTATTTCATAATGGTTAGTATTAGGCTTGCTAGGGCTGATCTATTAGTCGACTAACGATTTTTCCGACAGATGCAAGATAAACAAACTCCACCGTCTCCTCCCGACGTATCGGCCGTCGACATAGAGGAAATGGTCTTCGAGGAAGACATTGAGGAAGTCATCGATTTGGATGAAGTGATCATGGATGGTATGAGTTCATTAGAAGATGAAGATGACAAGGAAGTCGTACCGCCAAGAGAAGATGCTGTATGCATCTTTCGTGGCCACACGTCCGGTAAGAAAACGGTTTTGATCCCGCCTAAAGACCTATTCTTTATCATTTCGCTGACCTCTACTAAAGTTTTCTTTCTTACTTTCACCAAAATTCAAATATGTATCTAATTTTAATACAATAAGTATACATTGTTTAATTATAAGGAACAGATCTTAGATTGTGAGATAACAACTTTTTTTTTATCACTTTTAATATCACAAAATTTGATTTTAGGGAACACGGTATTCTGTGGTTCATTAAGCAAGAATGGCGAACTAGCAGCAACGGGAAGCGAAGAGAACAAAGCATGTATCTGGGACATCAATACGGGCGAAACTATTTTTGATACTGGCACGACCCATGACGACAGTATTATCTTCGCTGAATTCAATTTCAATGACAAATATGTAGCTACAGCTGATATGTGCGGTAAAATACAATTGTGGAAGATAAGCAACAAGACCTGTGTTTGGGAAACTACCTTAGCAAGTGACATTAGCGTGAGTGCTTTTAGCAATTATAAAAATTGTTCTTTGTAACTGTTTTGCATTTTACTTCCTACACTTGAAATGAAATGTGTATATAATTAAATATTAGAAAAAAAGGGAAAAGAAATATAAAGACTTCAACTACAAAAAACAAATTTACTATTTTTTTGAACATAATTGTCTGCAATATACAATTAATATTTTTCCTTTTTATTCTAGTGGATAAAATGGCACTATTTTAGTAATATCTTAGTAGCAGGTGTGGAAACAGGAGAAGTTTATATGTTGAAAACACGAACAGATGAATGCAAAATCTTTGCACAGGGCACTGGTGATAAGACAGAGACCGGTGTAATTTTTCCAGATGGTATAATAGAAGTATACTTTTAAAAATATGCTTAAAAAAACCAAATATCACGATCAAATTAATTTATAGGAAAACATGCCGCAATAGGATATCATAGTGGCGTAATTCATGTGATAGAATTAAAGTCAAATATCGTATTGTCTACCACTCCTCGGGATTCAACACGATCTCACGGACATGCAAGCTATATCGTTGCAATCGACTGTCACATGGATAATAATTTATTGATTTCAGTATCAATTGAGGGTCAGACTATATTAAGCACAGCACATAACGGCAAAGTAAAAAAAATTATGAATTTTTTTTAATATATGAGAAACAAATAGTATCATTTGACGATGTTGCATCTAAACTATTTTTTGTTATATTTTTTATAATCGGAGAGAATTACTTCTGATAAAATTATTGATTATTCAAGCTTTCCATTGAATTAATATGTAATTAAAAAATGACTCTAATACTAAAATATTTCTTTCAGGTAATTTGTGTACTTCAAGACTTGAATATTAAAGATGCAGCTAGCAATGATTATGGTAATGTAGAAACCGCAGCTTTTTGTAAAGATCCCACATTTCCTGTTGCTGCAACTGGAACGATCGAGAACGAAGATCACGGGAAAATTTACATATGGGACATTTCTAAACAAGTATTTATATTTATATAGCAGGCTTATCTTACAATATAGACAACAAGCTAAATTGCATTTTTTTCCAGACTCTTAGGCATGAAATTGATCAAAACGGAGGTATTACAAAATTAATGTGGACTAAGACATCAATATTATTTACAGCAGGATTAGATAGTGTATTAAGATGTTTTGACGCAAGAGCAGGTATTTGTCTTCAAGAATTCTCGGGACACACAAACGGTATATATGACCTGTACATATCTAGGTAAGTTCCTGACACGGCCATGAGTGATGAGTGATTTCGCATGAGTGATGAGCGCTAGCACGCACACTTGATGACGAGCCGCAACCGCGTTTCTTAATATTTATATTATTATTTATATTAATATTAATCGTAAAACAGAAAACAAAATTATCTTTGTTGGAAAGATTCTAAATAGAACATTTTTCGTTTGTCCTTTTCACACTTAAATTTGGATTATTATTATTACTATAATATATAATATAATTATTAACATTGAAAAATTATAAATCATAAACTTAACATCAATTTTAATCAAAAAGTTAATATGTTTACGAGTATATTATCCATGCTATTATATATACGCGAACTTCGCTGTGCGTGAACTTGGCATCGAGATATCACCCGTGTCTCTTGATTGTTAAGTGTTAACGTTTCGTGAATATTGCAGTTCACTTCATCAGAGCAAGCAGCCTGATACTATAATACTGATACTATGATACCTAATACTACATAATATCAAGCTGTTCCTCGCCTTGATGAAGTGAATTGCAATGTTCACGAAACTTTGAAAATAGTAACCGTGGAAACTTTAAAAGCAATCAATCTTAATTATTTTTATATTGTAATATTCTCGAGGGATTAAAATTATTTCAGTTATCGAGATGCCTTAAAAATCTGACTTTATTAGAGAATTTCGTTTATGAAATATTATAATATCTATTTTCTTTTTCGTGATATTTAGCAAAATGTTTTGTGATTTTTCAGTGATGACAAGAAAGTATTGACAGTTTCTGACGATAGCACCGCTAGGATTTTTGATATATCTATGTTAACATAATACAAAGCATAAATAAAATATTGCCAAACGTGTATATACTATTAAGAAACATATGTACATATAGCATAAATTTCTATATGTTTACAAAAATATGAAACACATACCTTTATCTGTAAAACTATAAAACTGGTAAAATTATAAGAAAACTGAATTTCAAGAAAAAGATTCTCTGTGAATTATTAAATACAAAAGCATGATTGGGAATTTCTAAAAATATAAATTCAGAATTAAATTATAAATTGAAATATACATTTCCACAGATGTAGAAATGTAAACTCCATCCTTATATTTACTTTACAATAAATATACAAATATCATAAACTCATATTCAGTTATTGGATGTTAGTATATTCTATTTTTGGTAATTTTTTAATAAATGACAAGAATAAAATCTTTCGAAGTTTATTCAGATTAACGTACCACTTATTAGAGAATTCCTTTTTTATAGTTATACCGCTCATTTATAAACTATAAATAAAAGTTTTTTTATCAAAGTCACTATTCATGATTTTATTTCGATACCATTCTGTATCGAGCTGGTATCGTTTATCTTTCCACATGAAATGCGTCGGTGGATTTCCCTCACCATTTTCAAAATCAAACAAGGCACTGAACTCAATAGCCAAATTGGATCTTACTAAGCCGATCCCTCCAGTTTTTTCCGGGGCAGGATGATATACTCTTCCTGTTTTAACATTCATAAACAATCTTTGCGGCTCAAATGGTACCTACAAATTTGATTATGGTTACAATTTTAACAAGACTCAATTTTACGCTGTATATAGCTAATTTTGCAAAATTACCATCAACAAATTATCCGCATGTGCATAACTAAACCAGTCCTCCTCCACACCAGTTTCCATGTTATGTTTCTGAATCACCTTCGTAAAAACCAATGGTAAATCGTCGCATCTCACATAGTTCCTCTCCACACCGCAAATTGACAAGAATGGGAAGTCATCCATGTAACGTCCGGTATTATTTTTCTTCAGATGTTTAAAGAAAAATGCCAGGAATTTCTTATCTACAACAGTTTGTAACATACACAAATGAATATACTTTCTCAGTTAACGTAAACGCTGTTGTATACCTTTAAAACAGGAGGTGAAATTCCTTATGCGAACATCATCCAGAAACAGCTATAAAAAACAAAAAATTAAAATGTACATTTATCTATCAATGAGAAAAGCTGTGGCTTAATTGCCAGATAAATGAAAAATACCATGCCTTGATGATCGATATAATAAAAATACTCTCTCACACGAGGTTGAGGAGATTGACCTTGAATATATGTTACATAACTTTTCTCAAAAATCTTTGACAAAAAACGACTCATTGTCAAACTAGTACGCATATAAAGTATCGATGTCATTTTAACAAATCTAGATTTAATAGTGATCTCACGATATAACTTTGGACTTGAAGATCTTCCTTAAAGTAATAGTGTACTGAAACTTAAAAGAGTAAATAATTTACATAGAAGCAACTGTATGTGATTAGAATTATTTTCCAGTGCACAAATAAAATAATAAATTATTACCTAAAGCTGCGTTCAATCTTTATCACAGTCTGATATTGTAGTATTGAATATATTAATTCTAAATTTACTACATTTTTTTTATATGCATTGATGTTTGTGCATATATAAAAATCTATAATGCATATATAAGTATCTTTAAATTTCTTTTTTACCAGAATCGCCAGCCAATGGCGCAGTTCAGTATAATTTTATCTAATTATATAAGCTTCCTTTATTAAAGTAAATCTGTTTATCAAAATATTCTACATTTTTAAACAAATAGAGCGACGTAGAATCAAAACAGCCCTGTTTTGGTGTTGTTTTAGGTTAAGCTCACAATTTTTTTTTTGTAACGCTCTATAGCTGAATAAATCAAAGGTACTCTTAATCAAGCCTTCAAATTAATCAACAATACAAAAAAATCTTTTTCTTGCAATACATTCTGCGCAAAATATCTTCTTTTCCTAGGTTCACGCGAAAGAGGTTAGGAATACCCTGCTCGGTCGGTAATGTAAGCACCGCCGCCTAACGAACAGACACGACGTCACGAACGGACAGAGCGAGAGAGACGGGCGGATAGTGACAGGTTCGGGAGATGAGATACGGATGGCAGTGGTGGAGGGGCGGGAAGTGGAGGTACTGGCAGTTTCCCGAGTGAGAGAAGGTGATCGTTTTCCGCGCTCTCGCGACCGCGTCGCGTTTCTCATTTTCCACGTTCTCTCCGGAGGGGAGCGCGACGACGCGACGCAACGTGACGTTACGCGACGCGACGCGACGCAACGTGACGTGACGTTACGCGACGCCACGCGCCGCGATACCCGGTCGCGGAAAGAGAGACCACGAGAGAACGAGGAGGAGGTGGAAGAGGAGGCTGTTGCTGCTGCTGGTAAACATGTTACGCTCGCACGGCGGCGGCAGCGAGAGGAGATCGTACGTCGTGCGCCAACCGAGACCGCGGACCGTCGTCGCTGCCAAATAAGTCCGCGCGCGCGACACGAACATGGCCTCGTCAACGAGGAGATCCTGGAAGCTCCGTAAGATCGTCGTCCACAGGGAAACGAGTGTCCTGGCGCTCGCGTGCGTGCGCGCGCGCGAACGCACGCATGCTCTTTCTCTCTGTATATTTCTCTTTCTCTTTCTCTCTTTTTTTATCTATGTCTCCGTTTCCTCTCCCGCGATGAAAATCCTGCTTTCCGCGAGGTCCCCGTGAGTAAACATTCTCTGTTTACAAGCCCACTTAGCCGCTACCTCGTCGCGGTGTTTCTTCCAATTATGGTTACATCTGACTCGACCGGGAATTTGTCCCGCGGCGAGAATGAGATGTCGTTTCTCTCCCACGGTGGTTGGAGCAGATTATAACGGACGGAATATTCGCGCCTCCGTTTCTTGTGAATGGATGAATTTTATTTATTTTTTTTCGTGTAATACAGAGAGGGAAATAATATATCGAATAGTCGTTGTTAGTAATAAAAATGAGTAATAAAAATTAAATCTCTTTAATTTTTTAATTTGGATGAGTAATCTGTTTATATTGTATGCTAAATTGACATTTTTCCAATATACAAGTCGATTAAGATATTTATTTCTTGGAAGAGGTTGTTTTTAGAGATCATTATTAAATTACCAATTTCTTTAGAATTTTCTTATCTGTGACTTTTTCAAGTGTCAAATGAATCAGAAGTCAAATTTATCAATTTCATGAAATTAATTTATAAACTAGTCCTATTTAATATATAATATATATATATATATATATATATATATATATATATATATATATAATATATTTATATGTTTATTATTATATTATAATATATTTATGTTTTGTTAAATTTAAAAAGTTTATAAGAAATGGAGTTCAAAATCTGGCTTCTGGCTTAAGGCTTAAATAACTTTTTTTTTAATAGGTTAATTCTTTTATTGATATAAAAAAGGAAATTATATAATCTTCTTTTTTTGGCACAGAGGAATTTGTTGCCCATACACCAAACGTCAATTGCTTGGCGTTAGGCCACAAGTCGGGTCGTGTCCTAGTCACAGGTGGTGATGATAAGAAAGTGAATCTATGGGCCGTTGGAAAGCAGAATTGTATTATGGTAATTATTGCACAATAGTTTCATTATCTCTGTCGTAAACAGCTACGCTTTAATGTTAAATAGGTATGAAACATAAATATGAAACAAAAATACTTATTTTCTTTAGTTATTTTAAAAAAATTTTAATAGAATACTATTTTAAGAAAGAGCTTTTAGCATTAAATTATATTATAATTATTATTAAATCCAAATTTGATGAAACTACAATTCATCAAAGATTTGTCTTTTTTTAGAGCCTGAGTGGCCATACCACTCCTATAGAATGTGTACGCTTTGGCCAAACAGAAGATCTTGTATGCGCTGGCTCACAGACGGGCGCATTGAAAATTTGGGATCTGGAACATGCTAAACTGGCACGTACATTGACGGGACACAAATCTGGAATACGTTGCATGGACTTCCATCCTTATGGGGAGCTATTGGCGTCTGGGAGTTTGGACACAGCAATTAAATTATGGGATATCCGCAGGAAGGGTTGCATTTTTACATACAAGGGTCACAACAGGACTGTGAATAGCTTAAAGTTTAGTCCTGATGGACAGTGGATCGCGAGCGCTGGAGAGGAAGGGATGGTTAAGGTGAGTCAGATTCTTTTTCATATATTTAAAAAAGAAAATGTATTTTCTTTATCTTCTCTTATCTTCTCACTAAACCTTATCGTTTTGTATATTGCGTCGTTCCGATTCTTTTCTTCTCATGTTATTTTCTATATACAAGAGAAAAGACATTGACCTTTGTGTTATTTTTAAATTAGCTGTGGGATCTAAAGGCTGGTAGACAACTAAGGGAATTTTCAGAACATAGAGGGTCGGCCACAACCGTCGAGTTTCATCCGCATGAATTCCTATTAGCTAGCGGCAGTACCGACAAAACAGTTCACTTCTGGGACTTAGAGTCCTTTCAACTCGTATCTTCCACGGAACAAAGTCATTCTTCAGCCATCCGGTGAGCTGAAATATTAATCTTAAAACACATATTGTTCGATCGCTATGCTATTTTTTTAACGCATCTTTCCCAATGCGTTTCAGATGCTTATACTTTAGTCAAGGCGGAGAATGCCTGTTTGCCGGTAGCCATGATGTTTTAAAAGTTTACGGCTGGGAGCCGGGTAGAACTCTGGACACGATACCGACTGGCTGGGGAAAAGTTCAGGACATAGCCGTAGCTCAAAATCAATTGGTAAGATAGGGCGCATCAAGCTCTTGAATCTATTTAATACGCTTTGTATTGAGATACAAAATTGTTTCAGATCGGCGCGAGTCTTCACACCGCCAATGTTGTTTTGTACGTTTGCGACTTGAAAAAGATCGCACCACTCGGGGGAATATCCGCCGTGAGTTCTCCATTCAGTCATGGAAATTCTCTGAGGAAGAGTTTCTCCAGGGAACGACCGATCGGATTGAAGAAGCATACGTGGGTTTTTCCGTTTTGTGAAGTCTAATTTTTAATATATTTAACATTACCATAACCGCTGTAACATATATGTATGCGCTTACAGATTAGATGTACGGACGATAGAAGAGGCGGACAAATCTGGCACGGATCCAGAGGATGAAGCCACCTATGCGGATATACCCAACGTAACCGAGTACAGGGACATTTTTCAACCGAATAGGGCGTGTAAGTGATTCGCTACATCCGTCTTGTAATGTCTCATTGTTCTCACCGAATGTATATATGTATGTGAGTGTGTGTGTGTGTGTGTGTGTGTGTGTGCGACAAAAATCCCTCATCCGGTCTAACATCTAATCCAATCCTTCGCAATCACATACACGACAAATCGAACACGTTTAAGTGTAAATGCAAAACGTTGTATAGTTTGAGCATGCCGCATGATATGTTGCAGTGTCTCGCACACCACCTCTCGAACCTCCCGAGGCTTTCCAGGAGCCTCATGATATAGGTGAGTTTCGTGAGTAATAACCTTCGCACGGATTCTATTCTGTTAAAGCACAATATAAGTTTCGAAACAAATTTTTTAATATAACAGCATTTTAATCTTCTCTGAATATTAATATAGTTTGAATATTAATATAAGACATTCAATGTCTTAGTACATATGTATATAATGCATGCTAGAAATTGATAAGAACTTCAAGAAAATTGAATAATCAATAATTTTTATTTATAAATTTACTTCTATCTAATGTTTTTAGTTAGGCAAGAAAAAGCTTATTTTAAATATGTTCTTTGAATTACCATCATTTTGCTTTTAAGAATAGCTTTTGGAAAGAAAAATGAATACATTGAATACATTGAATACATTGTTATCGATCTTAGATCCAGCGCAACCGCAGATTCTGCAAAATCTCTCTACCTCAATGGCGAACCTGAGCACGATAGAACGCGAAGAGGTGCCACCGATGCCATCTCCCTCTTCGCCATGTCCACCGGCGCCCACGTTATCCGTAACGAAGCCGGTACCAGTGCGCGTTCAGCCTATTAAATCCTCACCGCCGATACAAAGGAACACTATTACGTCTACCAGTCAAATCAGGGCGAATCTGCAGGCGAATAACGGTCTAAATCAACGGACATCCAAGAACTTTGCATCTATACCGCCGTTGCGGCAGAACATTACGCCGTTTCCGGGAAAGAAGGTAGCCAATAATGAACAAACAGTGTCGACGCCGCCCCAACCTTTAGGACCGCAAAGGTCGAACTCTACCCTAACACCACGCGTCGCACCGATGGCCGCGGTGATCCCTGTGATGGATGATGGAAAGTTGAAAAATAGAGTACCCAGCCCAGATTCTCCAAAACACTACCTGAAGAGGCAGAGCAGCAGGGACGGGGAGCAGGGATACGAAAGCGACTATCCTGTACAGTAAGTATCTCTATTGTATATATTAATAAAGGCATAGTGAAAATATCTTTTCTTAAAATAATCAAATATGAGGAAAAATATTATGAATATACTGAATATAATAGAGATACATATCAAGTTACACAAAAATTAATAAAAAAGAGTTTTCTATGCCAGACACACAATGTTTCTTCAGATTGTATTCTTTAACAGAAAATTATTTTTTTTAACTACGGAATATAAAATATATTTATAATACTTATAACTAATTAATTGAGAACGAGAAAAAATATGTTGTCTATAACAATTGTAAAATGATTTTTTTATTACAGAATTAATAATATAAGACATAGTCCCTCGGATCCTGCGCTGAACAGGCCAAATACGGCGCAGTCGAGGTCGACGTCGCTCAATCGAAATTTTGCTACCTCAACTACGCTATCGGCACGTAATGCCTCTACAACTACGTCGACCACAAGGAAACTGCCTAATAAGGCGCAGATCCCACCGAATCCCAAGATCGACATGCGTGTCTCACAAATAAGAACTAACGTCGAAGATACGGAAAAAGAGGAATTGGTGCCGATGAGCGCCGATAAACCTTACGGCTTAGACGTGGAAAATTTCTTACCGGTAAGGATCTTTCTACTTAGAAACATGTAAATAATAAAATTTTGTAAATAATAAAATTAATAATTGATTCTCCGTTTTAATATCTGTTTTAATATGAGTTAGTTTTCAAGTTCTTGGAATATTTGTATTTTACAGCACAGTTACACCGGTCCCACGGCATTGGGTTATCCTCAGATGGGCGTGCTGGCGGAAATGTCGGAAGCCGAAGTGTTGAACAATATGATGCGCAGCCACGATTCGATGATGGCAGTACTTAAGAGTCGACATCGCTCGTTACAGATAATTTATTCTCTCTGGCACAATAAGGACCTCAAGGTAGTTATTTATCTGACTCCGCGTGGATAGACATAAAACGTAAGTAATGAAGGACGTAACATGACGTTAATTTCAGGCCGCGGTAGAATCTGCAGTCGCGATGAATGACTTGGCAGTTATCGTGGACCTTTTGGGTATCCTCACATTAAAACCGTACGTAGCTTTATCGGTTCACTTTCGATATAATTTCAATTATTAAGGCACATTTGTTTTTATAACTGTTTTTATTTCTGTTCGCAGAGCGATGTGGAATCTGGACCTATGCAATTTCTTACTGGGTCCCATCAGCGATCTCTTTCAGAGTAAATATGAAATGTAAGTACGAAATATTTCGTTTTACAATTTTCTTATAAATATTTCCTGAGAAATAAATCGTTGTTTGAATTGATTCTATCACACATTACAATGAATAATAGATAGATGTCATTATTTTGCAAATGATATTGTTATTTTAAACAATCTGATTCCTTTTGTCGGTATATCGTTTTCAATCTTATCGTATTTTCAGATCAATTTGTTTTACAATTTGTGTCGCATTTGCATTCCCGTCGGACGGCGGCTCGTGTCCGCGTCTTATTGTCGCATCACGCGTATATTTAGAAATGACACGGTGAATGTTCATCGCTCTTCGCCGCACGCTTTGCATCTATTATCATCTAAGATTACTTCACCTACAATGACGTCGTGCGCGGCGTTGTATTCGAAAAATCGGGGTACCCCTACCTCGAGAGGGGCTCTTTTCGATCCCCATGTTCGAACGAGGTGCTGCGAGGATTGGGGCCGTCACTATGGGAATGGCTAATTTGCCGAAGCGAGGAAATCCGAAACGAGTGCTAGGGCGGTGCGCGAAATTAGCCGAGACAATGGGAGATAGCGGCAGATGCAAATGCGATGAGACTGCGCGAATCCTTCCCATCGTTCTCGGCGAGTCGTATTGTTCGCAAAGCGAATTGAAATCTGAAGTACCGCTACGCTCGCATATGCCAGCGTGATGACAGTGGACAGACAGGACGACCGAGTGTCATCTTCAACGCCAAACGGCCGTCACTGGTCGCGAGTGTAAATTTGTCGACGGTTAAACGCGTGTCGACAAATAACGTGGAATAAAATTCAAATGCGGAAATTCCAAATCATAACGTCTAAAATTACAAATGTGAAAAAAATTCTAAATTTATTTATTTCGATAAATTTGGAAAATTAATTAGAAAGATTAAAGCAGCCGAGCAAGTCAAGCTGAATTTTATTCAAACGTTTGTCAAAACTATTCTATTCGAGGTGAAGTTTTATATTACCGTTACATCCCATAACTGCAAATTTAAACGGTTTCTCGTCAGATACGCGCCACTTCCTGACCGTTCGGCTATAAATCCGAGTGAGGAAGAGAAGAAGGAAGGGAGGGAGGGGGGTGGAGGGTCTTGTCTTTTATGTTTGTTTGACGTATGAAAGTGGGCGATTAACCGACTGCCCTCAGTTCCAAGCTGTTGCTCTGTCGTGACGAGAAACGACTGTTTCCTTCCGCGTTTTATTGTGAACTACCATTATTCACCCTCGGTCTCTATTTTGTGCGCACGTGTTGCCTTGCAAGAATCTGCCCTCTCATTAGCAGGATACAATTTGATAACAGTCCACAATTGCTCACGTGAATTTTAGAAACTGTAATTATAATATTGTTTTGTATATTCAAATATTTTATCAAATACATTTTATGCAGAGATATTATGTATAAATACGGAATTATATTTTTTAATTTTTTTCCGTTAAAATACGTTAAAGTTATTCAAATTTAACTAATTTTATGTATATAATATATTTTTTGTGTATTTTATTATTAATATGTAATGCTGCTTATCACAAATTTAATTTCTGGGTCAATTACAGAATCGACGCTATCTATTCTATTACAATCAATTTCTTCAATCAATATCTTCAATCTTGATTGGATCATATCGAAAGCCATGATATTGATATTGATTTAATGATTAATTAATCACATCGAACAGCAATTTGATCATGCTATTTTCAAGCTCATAAAATTTGTTCTCCCTCAAATTAGGGACTTGGTCGAGCACCACAAGCAACTAATGACTTAATGAGTTTCCCATTTCTTTTTTTTTACTATCCTTTTTCTTGTTCTTTCTTATCGAAGAAGTATTTATTAATCCACAAAAAATTAATTGATTATAAGTAATATATATATATATATATATATATTAATATTTATTATAATTATAAAATAAATTATTTTTATTATAATTAATATATTAATATTTATTCGATATATTAAACAATATTAGACAAGATTAAGCAACGACAAAAATAAATTGAAATAGTTATTGATTTGCGATCTTTAAATCAATGAAACGCATGCAAGATAACAGCATAATATATAATTTATATAATTTAATTTACTTAATTTATTTATATAATTTATCTTATTTTAATCATTTATTACGAAATAATAATTTTACTTTCATCAACTCGCCGATTATTTTATATATCCTTAATTGATATATGATCTGAATTTTTATCTTGAGTTTATACTTTAAAAATCTCAGAAACTTTTTTTTATAATTTCTATTTTGCATATAACTCTGATGATTACGTCTTTAAAAAGAAAGATCGCTCTGACAGTTCTGTTTCACCTGATTTGAAAGTGTGCTATTGTTTTAATTGGGGTACTCGTGCCAATTGTCCAGCGTAATTTCAGCAAACCAATTAATAACAGTTGCTTATTAGCGCCCCGTGTATATATTTAATACCGTGAAAAGTGAATTTAAACTCATTATCCGCCGCTGAGCAGCTGTCATCCGCAGCCACTCGTAACAGCAATGCCGCCAAGCCATTTGTTGGTGCTTGCTTTCGCTCAGAAATTTGTATAATTCTATTAGACGCTTTTCGCTTCGTGATCAGCCTAGCGAAAATAAAAAGTTACTTTAGTAACAGAATCATCTCATTTCATTAACTTAGTTTTTACGATTACTTCACTCTTCATTATTCTGATATTTAAAGTTGAATGTTATTGTACAAATATTTTTAATTATTTAATCACTGTAGGAATAATCGATTCCAAAAATGCTTTTAAAAGATATATTTAAGATACAGTAGAAAGAAGACTAAACGGAATTTTGCATATTTGTGTACTAATTTCGCTTTTTTCGAGGAGCGGTGGCCTTTCGTACTCTCGTACCCCAATTTCGCAAGATTGACAACACGGGCAAATATACACATCTCGGATGGCATATTATGTAGTGGCGGTTTGCATACAGTCCGTTCGTCGTTTTCATGGCTCATTCGTTACGGCCTTTCGTCCTGGACCCGGTGCCTCGTGAGAAAAAAAAGAGATCGTCCAGAAAGTCCAGACGCGTGTCACGAAGGGAGGGTTCGCGCCCCGCCCGATCGTTTTCCAATTTCGCGATTGCTCCTCGCACCCTACTCTGTTCCCCTTTTTACTGTCTATCTCCCATAGATCTCTGCTGATTCTGAAAAGAAAAGCACGGTTTTTTATTGCAAAACATTGAAAATAGTTTTATAAAGTACAGAGAATTAAATTTATAAAAGACAAAATTAAAAAAATTAGTTACAATTAATATATATTAATATTCTATTATAATTATAAAAATAAATTATTATTTATTATAATTAAAATTAGATTAATATTTATTGAGAATGTGTTAAACATTTATTAGACAAGATTAAGCAATGACAAAAATAAATTGAAATAGTAACCGATTTGCGATTTTTAAATCAATGAAACATCTTTTTTTGTAGCCTAAAATTTATTCTTTGCTCTGAAAAAAAGATCTTTATAAAATTCTCCAAATTATAATCTTTAGCTAATTTTAGTTTCACAAGAGACAGAGAACGCCTTTTTTCCCGAAAAAAAACTGCATCTACGTCTGGATTATTCTCATATCGATTTCCCATTTTGTTACAAATCGTCTAAATCTATGTCGTGTCGCGACTGGTGCATGGTGCATTACACCATGAATGTTGTCGATCGGCGTCGCGCGCCTTGCATTCATGAGATCGTTCGTGATTCGTCTCGCTGATTCGAACGGGAGCTCGAAACCCTTTATCGTCCGTCCGAAAGCGAGAGCGTGCTGAATCGCACAGGCAAGCCTTTCGTGCCTTTCGTTATTTATTAGCGTCGTTAGTGGGTCTAATAACGCCCGTTTTACGGAACGGCCCAGGCGTGACCGGATCACCGTTGCGAGACGGGCTTCCATCCTCATTCCACGATTGTTTTTCTCCCGAACCATTTCTAGACAAACGAACTATAAATTAAACCATTAATTATATGGGTGCTTGCTTATCTTATTTATTTCCTAGTTAAAATGTTCGAGTTATTGAGATTAAAAGGAAAAATATACATATACACTTTAGTTGTTTTCAATAAAAAATGAAGCAAATATATGTCCATATATCTTTTCATTTACAATATATTTTCAATGTAATATTATTCATTTTAATATACTTTAATAATAAATTACTCGATTTAATATTGATTGATTGGATGCGACGTGAAAAATGTTAATTTCGATCTGCTTTATGTATATATGTTCTGCAGATTTTTTTTATTATACGTTATAACGCGTTATTATTAAATTTTTTTCCAAAATTGGGCTTGTTTTAGGTATATAACTGTAGCATGTTCGGCATTGAGACTTATTCTTCGTAATTTTGCCCCAGTGATAAAGTCTAATGTGGAGGCACCTCTCCACACGATCGGCGTTGACGTGTCACGAGAGGAACGGTGAGTTCTATGTAATATATTATTCGAGTATTTTTATTACGATTATTATCGTAGCGTGCTCAATACAGAAAAATAAGATTATAATTTTTGGATGTAATGTAATATTATTTTCAATATGGAAAACTATGAATCACTTCTTTTGTTTTTTTTTTTTCTAGGTATCACAAGTGCCTGTCTTGTTACGAGAAGCTCTCGGCAATACGGGCGATCTTGCTGAAGAAGCAATCGACTTCCGGCAAACTTGGTGCCTCATTCCGCGAGCTAGCGGTGCTCATCAGGAGTTTGGAGTGACCTTGAGAGTGGCGTTGTCTGAGACCCTCGTGAATTCGACCGCTAATATATCGTCATCGGTTTCCTCCCGATGACCATCAGGCTTAGCAGTGGCAGAACGAGGGCCGCGTCCTGGAAGCGCCAAATGGAAGCGAAAGAAACTCTGTTGAGAAATAGCAATAAGATGATGATCCGATGTTCGTCTTACGTCGAGAAAAACGCGTTCCTGCTACTGCTGTTGCCTTCTTCCGTCGCCCTCGGTCGATCTGCTTGCCGATCGCCTCCTCCTTGTCGTTGTCATCCTTGCAGTCGCGCCGATTCTTGGAGAAAGCGAACAAAATTGCGAGACATTTGTTATTTAGTCGCGCGACTTGTCATTGATGAAAAAAAGAAAAGAGAGAGAGGAAGTCAGTGAAGGCAAGCAAAAAAAGGAATCTATGTGAAGAAAAGTTCGCGGAGTTGAATGAGAAGCGGATGAAAGCGAGGAAAGACATTGTCGCCAAACATATCTGATATTGTACTGAACCATCCGGATTAAATCGATCCTACCCCTCCAGTGTTAGAAAATATGTAGATTTTTAAAAATATTTTTAAGAATTTTTTTGTTTAAAAATTAATTAAATTAAATTTTTTAACTCTAAATTTGAAAAACTGATATTGTGATATTTTTCAAGCGATAATAATACATCACACATCTCAAAAAGATGTCTTTTTAAAGAACAAATTAAACGGAATAATCCAAAAAAATGATTTTTTGCGATAAAAATTAATTTAAAGATATTCTTATCTCTACGTGCGTCAATTAACATGGCACTCTAATTTTATAAACAATAGAATAACAAAACAAGAATAAGAAACGAATTTGCTGAATCCCGATGCGTCAGTCGATTCCAGAGAATATAGAGATTAATGTTCCGAATGAGCGTCAGTTCATCCGACGAGAGCACAAAATAGAGTTTCACCGAGAGATGTTTTGCGCCCTTCTTGCCACAGATCACGCACGATCGTCAAACGTTTCGGCTAGAATCAGCATTGAACCTGCGGAGGCGACGGCTAACACAATAAGCGAATAACGAAGCGTAATGTAGCATATAACACACCTTTCTTAGCGTACGAGAGAAACTGTATTTTTGCAAGAGGTATTTGCGTCCGTGTACTAATAAAGTGACTCTAACGTAGGCGTAGATACCTTGAACCCTGGAGACAAATCATAAGGTGTAAGGTGCAAAGAGACCTAAAAGCTTGCACGCGCCTAAAAAGACAGGAAGGATCGGAAATTGGATAGGGAAAGCGCGATGTCGATGGACAATTCGTTTTTATATTCACGTTTAAATTATTTTTTTTAAAGTAGTATAACTTCCCGCGGATCATGCATTTTACCTCAATGTTTAGTGTGATTGTCTGTTTCATAGAACCACATTCAGAAATGTTATTCATGAAAAATCAATGCGATGTCGCTATTATATACACACTTTAGAGGTGTATTTTTAAGGAACAATTTTTTATACTCGAATTTATTGCGAATGAACGTTTTAATTAACATACTGAAGATATGGAGGAACGAAATGAATATATCTTGGAAACAGTATTATGGAGACGCCTATTTTGTGAGATTGTTTTTATCTTGTTCAACGATCTCTTCGGTTTTGTTATTTTGCGATTTTGTCTCGTCGCGATGAGTTAAAAGGTAGTGATTATACGACAAGTAGTATTTATTCAAGCATTGCATTTATCGTATTATAAAAAATTAAAAAAACATTTATATTCTTATATTTATGTTATTATATTTTCATACTTATGTACTTATATTTATGTTTTTATATATGATTCGCAGCGAAAATTAGATCAGTATTATCCAAAGTAATATTTCTCGCCAAAGTATTTTTTACAGAAATATTACGGAATTTTTTTTCATATAAAGTATTTAACTACGTAAAATTATTATATACTTATAATTCTGAGTCTAATATAACGAGAATTTGTGTCACATTTGAAATTGAATTTGCGAGGACTACCATCACTGCCTTTTAATCTATCACGACAATATTTTCTACGTTGTGATTTTTATATTCTCTTTTGGAGTTTGTATTCTGGCGATTACATCCCACCCCAATCGCTATTCGAAAATAGATGATAATTTAAGATCGGCGATACGAATCTTTTGCTACAACGTGTCGATAAAGATAAAAAAATATTCTGACACGCGACTTTTTACTTGATATTGCTTAAATTATTTTTTTTTGCGGCATTTTTGCGAAAGACTGAATAGTCACAAAATTAGAAGAGATCAAGGCGAGATAATTGTGGTTGTAGTATTCTTCGTATACATATGTTCTTCGTATACATATGTTCTTCGTTTGTCATCGTCGTTTTTTATTTTCAATTTTATATATTATTTAAATCAGTAATTAAATTTACGATTACGTCTTCTGTTAATAAAGTCGATCGTTCGGCTTTCCCTTCCAACGTGGCGGGAGACGATCCTGATTGCTGCCAATAGAGGATTATTTATTACGTATAGTGCAATACTTGATCATGCGATCGTCCTCCGCGTAGTAGAAGCCTACACGTTTCTCGTCTTGGAGAAAGAGAACAGTGCGTTGCACAAATGGTGAAACAAACGGTGCCCATGAGAGATATTACAACTTAACACATTGCCTCGAAGTATTATACAATAAAGCGTACAACTTCCTCGTTAATTTTACATCTCACGTGTTCTTTTTTTTTTTCTTCTTTTTCATTCAACGCGATATCTCCATAACAATATTCCATCTTTTACATAAAAAAAATTTGCTTTATAAATCCATGAGAATAGAAAGAGCGTGTTAAAGAGAATTGTTTTGATTTGATTGAGACTGAAAAATAATTGTAAGAAGCCTAAATTGAGGGGAACTGACATATCGATAAAATAAAAATAATAAATCTAGAAAAAATCCATAGTTTTTTTTCTCGAATGGAAATCAATAAGAATCACGTGAAGGATTTAATTTTTAATTTTATACGTGCAGATTCTCGATTATATTTGCGTTATTCTCGCGTCACGAAACAGCATCATTTTGTTTGAAGTTTTTTTAACCGTTTAAAAGTATTTTTAACGGACAGATAGATTTTTGCGACATTTGTAGCTTGCCAAGCGAGTGTTTCCGCGAAATGGAAAGAGGAGCTCAAGCCTCCAATCGGACGGCCTAATCGCCTTCGAAACGAAGATAAGAAAATTACGAGGATACTCGTTGTCGGTTCCGTCCAACGTATTTTTGTAAGAGAGTGAGGAAGGAAGAAAGAGAGAGTGAAAGAAAAATACGAGAGAGAGAGAGAAAGAATGCGTGTTGCTCTTTGAATGTCCTGTAATTTAATCATCCTATTAACTTTTCGCTCCGATCGGTACTCTCGCACATTGCCGATTTTTAACTTAAGCTTACGCTCATACATTGCGTGGTATCGATCTACGATCTACGATCTAGCGAGGATCATCCCGAGCCTGTGTAACTCAGCTCCGAGCTACGTTGGCGTTCGTCACCGAACGTGAAATCTCGCATTTCGCGTCCTGTTCGTCTCGTCGAATCATTTTACATGTTACTTTTTTTATTAGATAACAAATTTTATTATTGTTTTGCTCGATATATGTTAATCTACTGCGCGTTATCGCTGTTTTATTTTAACGTTCTCGACTTTTATTTGTGCCGATTATGTTACTTGAACGGGAGTATAATAATAAATTGTGTTATTTATTCCATACGTCTTCCTTTTTATTTCCTAAGAGTTTAAACTGATGGACATCTGTCATCAGAATTTAGGATATTTTTTATAAAAATTAATAAACATTAATTAACATGTTGACTAATGTTATATCCGCGACGTATGAGCGTCGGCTATTACGTCATTAAATATATTTTAAATATACCTCCGTCTATTTTGCGGCAAGAATTGACATTAATTAACAGCCTAATATTTTGGAAAGCGACTTTAAAGGGAAAGTTTTTGATATCGACATTGTAAATATACTCCATTCCATCGAAATTCTATTTTGTACTTGCACAAGATTCTCCTTGCAGATATTATTGCATTATTCGTAACGTCCTACAGAGACAACGTCGGTTCTTCGTGTTTGTGTATAAGAAAGAAATTTAGGTGGCTAGTGTCATTATTCTGATTATAATGATGAATATTCGAGAAATTGGGACGAGTACCCCGTGACTGTAAATATTCTGTACATTAAAGCGCGCGAGAGAAAAATCGCGAAAGGGAGTTAACATCCGCTTCGCTGTATATTTTTTTGCCATCGTGTATCATCTAGCAATTCGCTTCGAATATTTACGGCCGCTTAGAATATACGTTGTAACGTAACTCCGATCTGTAACTGCGATCTAATTGGTCCGGATGGTCCTGTCATTAATTACCTCGAGACCTAGAGACTGTTCAAGAAGAGGCGAGATCGAATCTCGTTGAATTTCGCTAACTGCCTTAACGATTATTTCCCTTGGGGATATCCTTCTTTTTACTTGTGCCGATTTACGACGTGTAACAGTTAATTAACTTTAGCCGTTAAGCCCCGTCATCCTGTTCGCAGCCGCAGGCATGCGAAACGATAATAATAATAATAATAGTCTTTGACAAAAAGCTCGTGTATTTTGTCCCCTCAATTTTCCCGATCAATTTTCAGAATTTCTGATTGAAATGTAAAGCAAAAAGATTTCTACGTCACATTTACGTACGAGCGACAATACTAATACCGTTCGTCATCGCGATTATCTACTGGCGAGATTTTTTTATGGATCGATAATCCGATCTCATCCATCAATTTTTTTTTTATCGCGCATTCGCTTATTCAGTGCAAAAAGAAACTGCGAAGTTGGACTGTTATCTGTATTTGCATCGGCGCTCCATATCTTTTAAAGCTCAATCCTTGTCAATCAATCTTGTTGCTTCGTGTAATCGCAAACATTTGCAAGGCACAAAAATGCATTCTGTACAAAGGCGAATTGCGAAATTTTTGAGGAGAACTAAATAAAAAATTAAATTAACGCCATACTGCAGAGTTATCTCTCGAATTAACTTTCACGAATACAGCTCTTTCTTCACGCATAGAAATGTTTTTAGGATCTAATTTGGAGATATAAAAAATTAAACAATCGAGGTAATTCGAAGAAAAAAAATCAATACGTTACTATATAAACACATCGTAAAAATGACAATCTGTCCTTCGGAATAATGTGGGAACGAAAGGATTGAGCTCTCAGAATGAGGATACCGTTACTCGTACGACATCTCCGGGATCTCCGGACGACACTGTGAAAAATAGTGCAAATATTCGCGTTATAATCCGTGAAATATCGCGACCGTTTAAATCGAGGCACGCGTGGCGGCTGTTTGCATCTGGATTATGTATTCATGGGATTATACGAGCCCTTCCCCGGGGTGCCTGCGCCGACCGACAACCCTTCGTCGAGATATCCGACTCCGCGATATCACGAAGTTTGACCCTTCCTGCGAGAATTGATTTACAAAAACAATCAGATCACGAGATTTTTTTACCAACATTATATGCCGTGAAAAGTAAAATTAGAACATGAAGAGAATAATTTTGCTAAAGAATCTTAAAATTTAGCTAGATATAAATCTGAAAAGAATTTTATTGAACTGTCAAAATAATATAATGATGATAAAATTGCAAAATTTTTTTATATTTTTAGCAATAAATTTAAGTGTTCTATATATAATTATTTTGAAAGTTCATTAAAATTATTTTCATATCTATCGAATTCTTATATGCTTTAGCCAAATTATTCTTTCTATAAATATAAAAAAATTTATGTAATTTGGTAATACAGATATAGAACTTTAATATTAAAATTATTATTAATTATAGTCGCGCTACTATTTGTCATTACAATTACGTTAACTATTGATGTTACCTTACATTACAATTTTCCTTAACTTCTCACAAACTTTTACATTTTGTTTTCCTTCAAGAATTTAAAAGATCATTTCAATTGGCGATTTCACTAATTTCCTTGGAGAGAACGTTCCCGCGCTTTCTCCGAAAATATCACTGTTCGCTCGTTCACGCACGAAATTGCGTCACTGTAGGAGATGCACGCACACGCAACTTGCGTCAGGTGCATCGGCCGGTGTCCTCCCACGCCGATCTCGGTGCCGATTGTTGTGACGGTGATGAGTTTAAGTCCTCTTCTTGTCGCCACCTCGAGCGTCGAAAATGCTGTTTTCTCACAATACGCCGGCAACAATGCGCCGTTACGGGGAGGCAAAGGAAGAAGAGAAGGAGGAGGAGGAAGATGCGAGGGCTGGACCGGCATAAGCGGATTATCCCGACCCGACGGAAAGCGATACCGATACACGCATCCACATACACGCGTGCTCGTACGCACGCATAGAGACACGAGGAGCGCAGCTTCCGCGCGTCCAGGCATTGTCGGTCCTCTCCTCGTTGAAAGCAGCGGCCTTCTGCCGGCCTTTGATTTCTTTTCTTCGTCGACGAGAAAACGTCTTCCATCCCTCACAGTCAGCCTACGTCGCGCTCCCGATGCGTAATGGCTATCTTGTTGAGATCTTCTTCTTCTTCCCGCCGAGGAAAGGAACCTGTCCCTCTTGTTCGCCGGCAAGAATGCGGCGAATGTGGATGGATATATATATATATATCTCATTTTGTGTACCGGTAATAATTTCACACTTTCCCACAGCATTGAATGGAGGTCGGAGGTGGAAATTTCACCGGCTTCTTCAACGGCGATTATCTCGATCTCGGTGCTACTGCTGCAGAACGCAAAAAATGCAAATATATACAATCAGTTGTTAATATATTTGAGTATTGATAATTCTTATTAGCTTTCAATATTTTAATTTCTAGTCGAGATATCCGACTCCGCGATATCACGAAGTTTGACCCTTCCTACGAGAATTGATTTATAAAAACAATCAGATCACGAGATTTTTAACATTATATACCGTGAAAAATAAAACTAGAACATGAAGAGAATAATTTTGCTAAAAAATCTTAAAATTTAGCTAGATATAAAAGAATTTTCTTTTTTCTAGAATTCTTATTTATATATTTTAACAAGTAGAATTAATCTTAAAAGCTACACAGGTTTTATTGTGAAACATCTAAAAATTTGACTGGATAGAAAATAATTTCGTCGAGTAAAATAATTTTGTAGAATGCTTACCAAGAAATGATGACCATATTACAAAAATTATTGATATTCTAGCGAGCAATTTGAACATCCTACATAATTATTTTGATGGCTCAATAAATATTAGATTTCTGATTATCTGGATATCTGATTTTCAATAGTTTCAACAAAATTGTTCTTTCCGAGAATTTGTGAAACTGTATACGAGGACTTTAATCATCCATGTAACTTTGCATCGAATTACATAAAGCAGGGTAATTTGCTTCTAATTTACGTCATAAAATACTTTGCGGTTTAACGCACTGTAATTACTTCGCTCGCTAATTCCAATTCGGGAGCTAATTTTCAAATGGAAGAATAATTTTTCGCAGTTTATAATATTCTGCAGTTCTCGAGACGATTTCTCGAGACATATTACGAACTGTCCTCGAAAGGAATCTCGACCACCACTCGAAATTCCAACAAACGCGATCCTGCGAATCAACCAAGAAGGTACCCCTCGCCGAAATCGAGTGTGCACGCGATGCGCACGGTGCACGCGATTCCCGTTTTAACAGCGACGATCGGCAACGTTTGTCATGTAAATAATATCTACAGCGATACACCAGGAACGAAAAGAGACTCACGAACAGCGAGCGAGGAGAAGAGGCTGTGTTTCAGGGCGCCAAAGTAAAAAGGCAGGAACGGGCGTAAATAGGGAGCGCGAGGGACAAAGAGTCTCGCGTAGCGTGAAGAAAGGGAGGAAGAAAGGAGAGGGGAAGGGAGGGGGCGCGAAGGGCACCATTGTGCCCTTCCTGGCTGTCCGTCTGCAATCTGGACACACTCACGCATGCATATACGCACGCACGCACGTATGCACGCGCGCACGCAAGTGCCCAACGCGCAAATCGCGCTGCAAAAATCATTGGCTCGTAAATGTAATCCGGCCAAGGGGTGAGTCGACTCACCCCTGCGATCGGATTGGCTAATTACGAGGACACGAGGAAGGGAGCCCCGGTGGATGACGTCACTGGGCGTGCTCGCGGCGCGATTGGTCGACATGGCCGAAGGGTGGCAGTCACCCCATCGTCTCTATTTTTGTGACACCCGGTGTCTCCGTCTCTTTTCGCCACAGCGAGAAGGGATGGCCGCGAAGGGTGGCAAGGTTCCGCGGGGAGACGCGAACCGGGCGGAAGGGCGGGACTACCCGCCTAGGGCACAGTTAATCGATAGGGTTCCGCTTTGAAGAGAAAGAGAGAGAGGGGTGGTTTCACTAGAAGATTCGATCCCGGGCGAAGCTGCGAATGTTTTTATTTTTAGAAGTAAAAAAATAGCAGATGTATATATTGCTTATGTAAAGCATCGTAGATTTTATTTATTGGAAATTTTTTCTTTCTCTGACAATTCGATAACAAAAAAAATTACGTAATAATACTAAATGATGGTCTGAACAAAACAAATGGTCATTCTATTAATTTAATTAAATTAAAATTAAATTATAAAAATTATTTATTTTAATTCTCAATAATTTCATGTCATGAATTCACGTCAATCCTGAATTTACAATTACAATTTACAATATTAAAAATTTAAAAAGTATC